GACTTATGACTTATGACATGACTTATATCTAAATATATTTGAGCTCTACTTGTGCTCCTAGAATAAGTGTTTCCATTGTTATCCGCCAGGGGGCGCTAGTACACATATTCTGTACAGAATTTCCAAAAAAAACACAAGAGAAGAAGAAACCGAAACACTAGATGCTTCCACATGTATGAAACTTATCCACATTCAAGTGTTTAAAAAAAGAATGCATGAAGCTAGAATAAAATGTTTTTGTTTACAAGCAGATACCCTGTTCTTTTGGTGTTTTGTATGTTCAGATATTCATATAACAAAATATATACAAATTAATACCTAAATAGGGACATAGTAGTATACTTAAAGTATGATGTAAAGTTAAACTTAAAGAAACCTTATGAGTATACTTGCAGTATAAAACTATATTTCAAAGTGTACTAAAAATGCTACTACAAGTATTTAATTAGAAAACTATCAGTATACCTATAACTTAACTTTTAGTATAGTTGCAGTACAAACTCAACATTTTGATGTAAACTAGTAGTGTACTCAAAGTTTACTACTGTTATACTTAAAGTATACTTTTATATACTAGAACGTGGGCCAATTTAGACACAAGGAGTATTGAAATAGTACACTTACAAGTATACTACTAGTACACTGATATTTGTATACTTACTACATAACGTATACTTAAAAATATACTTGAACTTTACTTAAGTATACTTACTAAAATAAACTTAAGGTATACTACTTTTTGGTAAGGGTAGACATAGTTCAGTTTGTCATTCAGTGAAGTGTCAGTATTACAGCAGAGATGATCACATCATATCAGACTTTAGAAGAGGTTTATTTAAATGAAAACTATAAATTTAGAGATTAATATTTTTGTTCAGCTTCCAAAAAAATTTTGGAATCAAAAATTTGATCAGCTTCCCCAGATTACTGCTTACACAGATGCCTCTGTAGTTGTTGAGGTATGATTTGTCTCCACAAATCCATTGGTCCCCCCTCTTGCGTACTAAGCGTAGGCGAGACCAACGCTAAAGAGAGAAATCCATTGGTCCCCCCTCTTGCGTACTAAGGGTAGGCGGGACCAACGCTAAAGAGAGAAGTCCATTGGTCCCCCCTCTTGCGTACTAAGGGTAGGCGGGACCAACGCTAAAGAGAGAAACACATTGGTCCCCCCTCTTGCGTACTAAGCGTAGGCGAGACCAACGCTAAAGAGAGAAATCCATTGGTCCCCCCTCTTGCGTACTAAGGGTAGGCGAGACCAACACTAAAGAGAGAAATCCATTGGTCCCCCCTCTTGCGTACTAAGGGTAGGCGAGACCAACACTAAAGAGAGAAATCCATTGGTCCCCCCTCTTGCGTACTAAGCGTAGGCGAGACCAACGCTAAAGAGAGAAATCCATTGGTCCCCCCTCTTGCGTACTAAGGGTAGGCGGGACCAACGCTAAAGAGAGAAATCCATTGGTCCCCCCTCTTGCGTACTAAGCGTAGGCGAGACCAACGCTAAAGAGAGAAATCCATTGGTCCCCCCTCTTGCGTACTAAGCGTAGGCGAGACCAACGCTAAAGAGAGAAATCCATTGGTCCCCCCTCTTGTGTTCTGTGACGCAGAACGACTCGCATCATCCGTCCAATAAAACGGTTCACTTTCCGACCAACGCGAGCACAATAATAATGTGTCACTCATCCTATAAAAGAATGCGTCTTGCTCTGTGAGTCTCTGTGTGATCACTGAAGGCTGTTGTGGATGTCTCATGTATCTCGTAAGTCAGCTGTAAACTCATCTAATGTTTAAATGAGAAGTCTTAATAAAAGTAAAGAAATATGTTTTGGAGTGAATTACTGTATACTGATGACTTTACCCTTTAATCGTGGCTCTGTGTTTATATTTATATACTGTAGTTAAGACCGGGGCTAGCTGTCACATTGTTAAGCATTTAACTTAATATATTACTGTAAAGGCTTTGAGTAACACACTTTGTAACACCCGTGTATGTAACATGTATGTACTGTTTGAGTATTTGATACTTTTTTTATTATAACCTGCAGTGATATCTTAGTACATTATAAAAGATCACATGTACCAGAGTGGGGATTTAGGTTTAATTGTCCATTTTATTAAAAACTTTATCACCAAACATTTCCATCTGGATGCTGGATTATTTATGGTTTATTTTATTTGACCAGAAATGTTTTACTAGCTTCCACTTGCAAGATATGAATTACTGTCTTGATTTAGAACCATTAAAGTGAGGAGAAATTAATGTTGATTGTTTTCTTTATATTAGATTTTTATTGTTTAAATGAGAAGTATTGGAAGTAAACACATGAACAGATGAAGACACAAAGCAGTGAAACATGAAGCTCATCAGATGGAGCAGCTCCAAAGATAGACGACTGAATTGTAAAGGAAAACAAACGCTGATGTTAGTCAGAAGGAACAGCATTCCTGGCAAAAGACCAAGCTGTGAGTATTTGTGATGTTTAAGACAAAACACACTTTATCATGTCTTTAATCATCAACACTGTTTCTCCTCCTCTAATCTGTGAATTGGTCATAAATAAATGATATATCAAAATAACCATTACATTTGTACATTTGGCAAACTTTTTTTATCTAAAGCAACTTGCACTGAATTCAAGATCAGTTCATATTTCATGAATCAGAACTGAACCCGTGATCTTGGTGTTGCGAGCACCATTCTTGTACAGAACTGCTGTAATCAGATGTTTGTGTTTTTCATTTCTAGTTTCTCAAGATGCAGACGGCTTCATTCTGATGCTTCAGAAAGAGTCACAGACTCTCACACATCAGACCCAGCAGCTGATTTCTGATCCTGGAGACTGAGCTTCCTATAGAGTCCAGCTTTCTGGAGATCAAGCCGGTGTTCCTGGAGATTTGGTTTGGAGCTCATCTTTGCAGGAGCAGGATCAGGATCCTGAGGGGAAACGGTGATCAACATGCACCTGATAATGTTAACTGTGTTTTATAGTCCTAAATTTATCGTTCTTAGTGTGAACGGGGCTTTAGAATGAGTTTTTATACAGATTCATGTTATTTTGAATCACTGATTACTGTATGTAGTGCACTGCACACTGTATGATATTATATGTAATATAGCATGGTGCAGCAATGCCAGTGTCATAGGTTTAAATCCCAGAGAATGCATGAAGTCATAAGATATATAGCTTTAACACAGTGATTATTAAACCCTTATACTGCACACTTTTCATTTCTCCTTAAAGTCTGATGCATGCAATTAAGGTTGTGGGGTGAACTAGAATACAATTTTATTTATAAAACTGTATTGCAATAAATCTGTACTACCCCAGGGAATAAAACTGGTTTACACTTGTAAAAAAGAAAAAAAGGAACAAAGGCTCTTTATTTAAACTGCTTGTTTGTTTATTTTCATGATTAACTTTATCTTTCAATGGATAAACAACAGCAAGAGTAAACAATGTGTTTTGATTGAACATCATTAAAGCAGGGATCTGTTCTTTAATGTACAAGATCAGACATTAAAACATCTACATGAAATCATCAGTATTACACTTGAGAAAAATCACATCAACATCTACAATGGAATCTATAAGTGTAAATTACAGGAGTGATGCACATTTTATTCAGCCTGCCGATTATTATATATTTTGACATTATACTATGTCCTTAAATTCATTATAGCACTAATAAAGAGATGCTTCAAACACATTGTCACTTTAATTAAAAAATATAGATACATACATATATATATATATATATATATATATATATTCCAGTCATCAAAATCAAACAGAAATGTAACTTAATTTCATAAAAACACACAAATAAAACATCCTGACACAGTAATGAGAATTTGGAGGTAAAATTTAAATATCACGACAATAATGTCAAAATGTAAAAATATAGCCTATTAATAGAACTGAAATCCTGCTGCAATTTAGACCTGGACATGTTTCTTTGAGATTCATATTTGTATTTATAAAATCCATATCATACAACAGCTGACAGAGTAAGATGGGGAAGTTGCC